CTTGTGATAATTACTCATACATACTTACTGTATTACTAACTTATACAATTCTTTTAAATGTTCATTATTATTATGTCTCCTTTTCGGCTGTACATTTCTTAGCACAAAGACCATCTAAATGAGAATATACCAAGTATATTATCGCGAGTTTTGCATTTAACCATATTGTTCAATCCCATATGGCTATATTTAGGCGTCAGTCGATCACCTCATCTTATTTTGAATCTATCATTTAGTAGCTCTATTAATTTAGACAAGGAAAATATTTAGGAGTTTCGCTTTAAGTTGTTTCGCTTACCTAAAAATTCTTTATTAATCTTATTCTCAGCCAATAACTACGGATGCTGCGTCTAATGAGCCACCTCCAAGCTCAAATCCACTCGCACCTCCGCATGCACCTATCCAAAGGCTACAATCTCAGCACGGCTTCCAGTCCCTATCTAGACCATCTCTATCTTCTTCAATGGTTTCTTGGTTGGCTGGAGACCTGTTGCATGCACAGAAAGTTTTTCAACAGCAACAGCAGGGAGCACAAATGCACCGTTCTTCCGCTCCACCTCCATTGTGCATGTTCTTTCGAAAGGTTGGAATTTGCCGATTCGGCGACAGGTTAGAATTTATCTTTTTGCTTCAAAAGAGGCCTTAATAATGGCATTCAGGATAACTATAATTAAAATAAATTTTTTAGGAGCACATAAATTAAACTCTTTGAGTGTCAGAAAGATCTTGTGAAACGTACCTAGTCCACAATTTATCAAAGTGACAAGTTGTAACTCTGTGCTTACGATGGCACCTCACTGACAATGCCGGAGAAACGGTTGAGAATGTACCCAACCAATGGTCCAATGCTGAAAATCACGAATACGATAGCAGAGAACAGTGGACTAGGTACGTTTCAAAAGGTCTCCCTGACGCTCCGACCAAGTTGCAAAAACGAGGTCGAACCAACATTATATAGCTAAACGAGACTGCGACCAAACAGAAGGCCACAGATTAATTTGATAAATTTGCTTCTAATGTGTAAAAATAGCACTTATATCATAGGTACAAAGATCAAGATAGTGTGGGTGTTTGTCTGAAACCTTTACGTGTCCATATATATGCCGATGGTTCTCCACCGTTTTAAAAGTGATCTTGCATCACGTTTGCAAAATTAGAAAATCATCCAGTATTTTTATTTCGTGCAACCATAACGCTAAGAAATGATCTAATTGTCTTGTGGACTGCGTAACTCTGAACGTAGCATGAAATCCAAACGGCTGCGCTACAACGGGAATCAGCCGTCCTCTTTTGGCGAGATCGACCTTCGAATCTATTCATGTATTTTCGTACGAAATGAATGTCTGTTCAATGTTACTATCTCAGGAGGTTCTTTGAGACCCAGTTACTCTTTATCAAAGCTTCTTTCTGAAATGTCAGGTACATTTAAATGAG